CCTCCTCTCTCTCTCTCTCTCTCTCTCTCTCTCTCTCTCTATATATATATATATATATATATATATATATAGTTTCAAATTTTCAAATATCATATTTGGCCCTACCAACATCATACGAGTATTTAGATCATTCATATATTCCACTCCAATATATTCTAATTAATTGATATGAATAATAACTACCTAAAATATTCTTATTATTCTCATCTTCGTTGCATTAAGCGCAACGATTAACGTCAGTTAAAATATCCAATTTACAAACATTGATACAAATATTGACGATATTTTAGACGTTTTATATGTTTAATACGCTCTTTTGATCTAAGTTAGGCAAAGTTGAGGCAAGCTTCGGTTATATGCTGTATCAAAATTTGCAAGGGTAAATATGCGATTATAAAAAATTAATAAGGACATGTAAATAAATAAATAAATAAATAAATAGATAAAATTGATCGAGAAAACCCCCGCCTCAAGGAAAGGCTTCGCTCGTGGTGGATCGCTCCCCTTCTTGTAGTCGAAGCAATTCCCGGAAAGCGAAAGCGAAACCGAAACTTGAGAATGGAACCAGATTGGGGAGCTCACATATATGTCATATTTGACATCTTAGTGTGATTACTACGATGTGCCTCTCCGCCTTCTGTCTGCGACCGCCGAGACGATCCTCCTTGAAGCCCTTGCCCCAGTCTCCACCAAACCACCCCACGGTACAATTCCCCTTCTTCCGTGGCTTTTGTTTTTCGCCCCTTTTCTTTGTTCATGCCGATCAATATTTCCTTCTGTAGAAGACGGAAGTACCGGCAGTAGATCTACCACGCAGTGGCAGCGATCGAGACGCCGACGGCTCTCAGGTGTTGTGTAGTTAGTCGATTTAAAAAAAAAAAACAAAATTTGGATTATTTTAATCGTTGTTTTTCTCTAGTTATGATCTGATTTTTTTTTGCCTCTCCTAAAGTTCATTTCTTTCCTTGTAGTTTATAATGCTGATTGGGCGTACAGTTTTGATTGATAAATAATCAAGAATTTGATGTCACACAACATTTTGTTTTCTTTTACGAGGAAAAGAATCTGAATACAAAATTGTATTAAGAGTAGGTTTGGTAATTTGGAATGTCAATAAGGTTTACATCATACTGGTTCTTTTATCAAACCCAGGATGACCTTAGCATGACAATGTCAGCTATAAGTTTCTTGACCAGTAAGTTTTAGTTCTGCATCCTTTGCCCTACTTCCCTACATAGTTATAGCGTTAACCTTGGTTCCTTTGAGCGCCTAGCACCTTTGACAAAACTCTTTTTTGTATAGTGGATGTCGATCGTATGGAGAGACAACAGCTGGTATAAACATCATGTCAGAGGTACTTCGGGCAGTATGATCATGTTAAGGATCAGCTCTCATTGCCACTATGGGATCCAGCTTTTGTTGACAACATGGTGGATGTCTCAGGAATGAATCTATCTTTATTGCTAGTTTCCGTCAGTGCAATGTGACATGCGTGGCTGTTTGGCCAGAGGGGGATCTATTCTTACACCCACATTAACAACAATGAGGATCTCCTGCTATTGGAAACTAAGAGTTAGCAGGTGGTCCACAATGCACCCATTGGCAACTGCAGCATGAATGGCTCTCAGATATGATATTGTTGTGTGTTATCATTTTTGAATTTCTTTTTTGTAATTATTGTCTTTCTTTATATCTCCATTTTTAAGAACTAGAGATCACTTCTCTGACAGCTTTGCAAGGTTGATCTGATTTTTTTTCCTCACTTAGAATATCTTCATTTCTTTTATTGTTTAGACTTTAGATAGTGCTTCTGTGACTCTGTCACAATATCTTGATTTCATTTAACAGAAACAAACACATATTTGCATTTAAAATTAGATTTGATAATTAGGAAAAAATTGCAGCATTTTAGACACTTGTAAAATATCCAAGGTAGAGACCCTAGTGATTACAAACCGTAGCAAGAATCAAAGGAAGCAGTGTGACTGATGAATGCCCTTTCTGGGCCTCTGGGTTTCATCTATGGGGTTTAGTGCATTTCCATCTTGTTCAAGAATGTTTACACTTCCTGGCTCTTTAATCTATGTGTGGATTAATTTTTTTGATTAGCAAGTTTTTCTGGCAGGGGCCCAGAGTGGTTGTTAGTACACAGGCTGGTTACCCAATGAACATTATCTCAAACCATGACTTCTCCAATGGGCTTGAGTCTTGGCATCCCAATTGTTGCCATGCTTATGTGGCCTCAGCAATTTCTGGTTTCCTGAATGGAGTGAGGCCGAGCTCGGGTGGAAATTATGCTGTGGTTACACAGAGGAATGAAAGTTGGCAAGGCCTGGAGCAAGACATCACTGAGAAGGTCACTGTCAGTGTAAAATATACTGTTACAGCATGTGTTGGTGTTTATGGGGATCTTCATGGACCTGCTGGAGTTCAAGCAACGTTGAAGTTGGAGAATTCAGATTCTTCGATTAGCTATATGTTCATTGAGAGGTAATGTGATTCAAATGATATTAAGAATATAGCACTTTGTTTATCAGTTTCTCTTTTCCAAGGATTCTATAGACCACATTTGTCTGTTTCAGGATCTTGGTCTCTAAAGATTGCTGGGAGATGTTGGAAGGTTCCTTCTCACTGGCAAGCATGCCAAGACGAGTAGTGTTTTATTTGGAAGGACCTCCTCCTGGCGTGGATTTGCTCATAGATACTGTGGTCATCTCCTCTGAGGTATGCACAATCTTTCTCTACATGAAAAGATGTATTTACTGGAACTGGCCTGTCCTGATTCTCATCTCAGGGCTTATTCATCTTGCTTTTTTCTTTATCTAATTATGACCTACTAGATCCAGTAACTTTCTGCTTCAAATGGTTTAGCATCATATCTGCAATTTCATACATGGGTAAACATTATGGGAGGTATGATGACTTTGTCATTTGCAGTACATACTTTTAGCTGTAAAAGGATTATTTGAGGCATCTCTTAGACTGACTAGAAATGCTTGAGGGCAACATGTACTCGGATGCATATTGTATTCTGAATGCTAATTGATATTGGGCAATAGGCAAACTTTACAAAGTTATGATGCTACATATTGTCTGCTGTTACATGAAAATGATGTAGGATTTTGATTTTGTCAACCTTCATAATCCTCTCTTTTTTATTTTATTTGCAAAGCAAAATTGTGTCTTCAATCAGTGAATAGAACTAAATTGTGATTTATTAGACACTTATTGAGATGTAAAAAGATAATTGTTAGGGATACAAATCAAGCTGCTAATTGATAACCAACCATACTAAACAAGGAGTCAGGCTGTTCTCTGGAAAAAGTGTTTTTCCTACTGACTTGATTATTTTGTGCTCTGATGAGCAGGCAGTCGTTTTTAATGTTTTGCCATGATTATAAAATTTCTTTCTTTGCAGAAGAATACACTGAATAGAAGTTTTGATATCGTTATCTGATGCAGATCGCTAATGAAGCATACTATCTCCAGTCCATCCTTGTAGGATTAGCTTTGTAGAATAATTCTTATTTCTTACTAATAATGCCAATAGAGTTACACATCTAGTGAGATCAAGAACTAAGAATTTAATTCAAATTTCTTGACAGGTGTCTGATCTACATTTCCCTAAAATATGTGGAAGATGTTGCTTCCAGTGTTTGGTGGGCCTTGGTTTTGCTCCTTTGATTGAGGTGACCAAGATCAAAGTTGTGGAAATAGTATCTCTGTTCTTAGAGTTAAGGTGGCATACATTGACCCTCCTTGGATCCTACATTGTTGGGAGCAATGTGCACTTGTCACTTTCTTCTACATTGTATCTGGTCCTGCTACACCATTTAAATTAATCTGCATCATAATCGCCTTGGTGAAATTCCTTAATATCTTCTACCTAAACCATGTTCTGGTCTTTGTTTTTATTGACTCACAGTAGGGGGCCTTATCTCATTATAGATGCTCCATTTCAGTTAAAATTTTAGGACCCTCCAACATGTATTCAAGTGTTTGGATCATGTAGTCAGTAAATGACCTATAGTACTACACTAGTCTCAGTTATTTTGCAATTATTGTCGACTGGTGGCATGTAAATACAAGAAACTTATTTCTTGTCCATATTAATTTTTTCTATTTCTAAATCTACTAACTTGATTCTCTGGTTTCCTTTCCGTTCTTCCTTACCATTTAGTTCCTGTTTCTGCCTCAACTATAATAATAAGTGAAAGCAACCTTAAATTTAGTAGTGGTAACTGGTAAAAGTGGTTTAAAAGAAGAGGTGGTTATTGGAGGTGGTCTTGGTGGGATTCAACATGGCCTAGACTAGAGATGGAGATGGTGATAATGACCTTGTTTCTAGTGGCATGATGATTCACAAATTTTGACAAGTTAAGATGCCTCTTTCCCCTTTTTCACTTCTTTTTCATCCTCCGAGCACAGTGGCTGATGGGGTTGGATACCGGAGCTTGCAGATACAGTAATAGGGTGTGCTATGTTGCAATGTCTTAAAATGGAGTCAGCATAGAAACCTTCAGTTTTATGGTGTGTTTGAAATGAAATTTACTGCTCAAGAGAGAATGGCTGAAGGTGAGTATAGAACTCTACCCTGATTGTTCTAGCAGGACTATGGAAGAAATGGTTGAATATACATCACTTTCTTAACACTTAAATACTTGTTTGACTGGTTCCATCCCTGCTTAAACTGTGGTAAAAGACAATGAATTTAACAAGTACCCATAAAAACCTCTTTTTTATGTATAAATATTAATGATTTGAAGGATGTCTTTGATCTCTAGGTGGTCAAGCTATCCTACAGCACATATGTGGTGCAGTACATATTAAAATATGTTCAAAAGATTTAATCAATGTGTAAATAAAAATTTCTAAAAATAAATAGACAATATATGTTACAGTCAAGAACTTAGGGAATAATAATTGTAAAGTTTTTTAAGTAATGAGTTGTAAGATGCATGTAAAGGTGCATATAATTAGTTATAGAACATTATATTTGGCCATGTTTCTACTATTAAAATCGTATTGTATGACATTTAAAACATAATTTCCCAACTATCTAGGGTTGGCTATTTTCATATACATGGTGGTTAACATAAATTAACAATGTTTCGAATCCTACAATTAGGATGACACGATGGGTTCCAGTAATGGTAAGAGTTAAGGTTTTCAATTTCAACTTTCAAGTATTGAACCCATGCCAACCCTTGACCAGACTGATGTTGGTTTGGTCCATTCCAATGTATGGACACATAGTATGCTGGCGTGTACTGGTTTACCATTTCACTGTGGGAGGAAGGAAGAAGAAGAAAACAGAAGGAAGAAAGGAGGAACAAGGAGGAGGGTAAGTACCAGTTCAGCGTTGTTGTGATTCTCAGTGTGACTCTCAGTGTTGTTGTGATTCCCGAGCGACTGCAAAACGTGTGGACCTAGGGCTTATTAAAAGAAAAAAAAATCAAACAGCATCTCCTGAAAAGGAGCAGTTCATGTTCTGGTTCATGCCCAAACAGGTAATATTGGTCAGTATTGACTGATTTGGGCTCTCAAATAGTCGGGACTTATGACTTTGTTGTTGATGTTGTTGTTGTATCGACTAATCCGGGCAAAATAGTAAACCTTGGTAGGAGTTTCCTTTCTTTTTGGGGAGCATATAAATGCACTTGAAAAAACGATCAAATGCCCTTAATGTAATGCATATCTAATGAGAACAATTTTGTGCTAAATAGAATATATTTTGTATTGTCATGCAATGTAGTGCAATTCAGAAGCTTTTGCTGAAGTTTTTCAGTCTCTAATTCAAGGGATAGCTGCCAATCCTTGCATCAATACAGACCTACCATTACTAATCTGACTAGAAGAGTTGCTGGTTTAGGTGTTTGGGTTTTTCTCTTTATTTGATTAGGAAATTAAGTGTAGGCTTCCTAAATCTTTTGCCCTATTGTCAGTTTGGTCCTGTAACAAGCCTGTCAAATCTGATGCCGATAGAGATTAGTCTGACTGAATAAGTTTATAAGTCTGCACTGTACATGACAACCAAAATAAGCTGATACATTAATGTGAGTACTAAAAGTCTTTTGATTAAACTAAGCAAGTGGATTGTCATTTCATCCGGACCGGTATGAAATGAGTGGTATGCACCTGTCCAAGTGTGAACCAATACGCTGACTGTCCCTGTTTTTATTGGTCCGATTTGGCCAATAAAAAAAGAAAAAAAAATTTCCCTAGTTCAGGGCTCATGTTTGCAAGTCTCTTCCCCATGCTTGCACCCACAAGCCACTATTGTTGACTGTTGTCTGCCATCGATTTCGGAGATTTCAGGAGAACACTGCTGCTATATCACCCGTTGCCCGTCACAGCATCACCAGATGTTGATTTAGATATGCTTCCTCCTCTTCTTCCTCCTTTTCCTCCATTGCCATGTCCTTCCTTTTTCATCCTACTTCTTCCTCCTCCCCTTTCTCCACTATCTCCTCTTCTTCCTCCTTCCTCCTTTTCTTCCTCCACCGCCATTTGTTCGTTCATCTTCTCCTTCTTCCTCTTTAAGCCTTCAAAATATACCGGCATACCATGTATTAGTACATAGGTACCAACCCAGTCTGGCCAGGGACCGATATGCAGTACCAGATGGCAAACCTAATAAAATCTCATGTTTGATTATGTTCCAAGAAAGCACTTGTTTGCAAAACCATAAATATATACAAAAATAGATTGTCACAGCTCTTCTGGTTAAATGTTATTCTCGGAATTACTATCCGATGAATCCTTATAGTTTAAGTAATTATTCTCCCTTACTAAGAAATGTATTTGTTATTGGACATCCTATATATTCTCATTGATAGAAATCAAGCTCATTCCATATGCTATTAAATGTAGAATATCATATTTTTCATGGAACACTCATCTAATGATCAAAATAAGCATAGCTAATCCTAGTACAGTTTAGAAGACATGCAAAGAATATCACATTGATATTGTGGTATACCTGATTGTTAAGCAACACCATTTTATAGTCATCATAAACAACTAACAGTTGTATTGGATCTAGTATCTTGACTGTGACAAAATGCAAGAAAAATAAAACTAGATCTCAGTTCTTCCTTGATGACACAAAATTATTTTTTACTCAAAGGAAACATGATCTGATAGCAGCAACATTTGTAACAAGAGTAGATTAGCTGCTGGGGAACATCTATAATATGGTAATGATATTTCTTTAACTCTTGATGCAAAGTATGGAACGACACCCACACATGCAAGTAGATGTAATTGTTGATAATATTAAGATGCAATCAATTGTGAGTTCTTCTGAATCGTGATTTTTCTAGCAGAGGATGGAAATGATGGTCAATACACAGAATCATGTAATAAACATCATCTCAAACCATGACTTCTCTTGTGGGCTGGAACCGTGGGTTCCCAATTGTTGCCATGCTTATGTTGCCTCAAAAGAGTCTGGTTTTCTGAATGGAGTAAGGCCAAACTCAGGGGAAAACTATGCTGTAGTCACACAAAGGAGCGAATGCTGGCAAGGTTTGGAGCAGGACATCACTGCAAAAGTCACTTTTGGTGCAAAACATGATGTCTCAGCATATATTGGAGTATATGGGGTTCTTCATGAACCGGCTGAAGTCAAAGCAACACTGAAGTTCGAGAATTCAGATTCTTCTACTGGCTACCTGTCTATTGGGAGGTATTAAGAACCTTGATCTTTGTTATTGATCTTCGTTTAAAAGTTCTTTTTTGTGACCTTCAGCTTTTCAGTGCCTTCGTTTCTAAAGGATGCTGGCAGAAGTTGGAAGGTTCCTTTTCACTGACTAGCATGCCAAGACGAGTAGTATTTTATTTGGAAGGGCCTAATCCTGGCATGGATCTGCTTATAGATTCTGTCACTATATCTTGTGATGTATGTGCATTTGATCTAGTCAATGGAATTATCTAATTGCTTACTGCAAATTCTTTAATATCATGCTACAAACAAATTCATAACCATACAATTATGTTTTTGATAGTTCTGACACTTTACTTGCATTAACCATAAAACATATGTTTTTGGAAGCATAATGATTTAACCAGGCACTTTTATGCAATGTGAAATTAGATAGCACCATCTGTTGCATAGTAGGATGCTTTATATTGTCATGTTCATTTGTGAAACTTAAATGTGGTAAGGATGCACAAGCTTCGGATGATTGATGGTTAAAACATACTTAAACCTACATGATTGTTGGACTTGATGCTTTGCTTTTCTTCCTTCATCTAATTTTCTTGTTTAATATTTTATTTTTCATATTTTGAATGTTAAGTTTAAGAACATTAGGAGAATACAATACAAATTTAAGAGCATGAAAAGAACACTTTCTATTTGTTCAACACATACCATATAAATTCACAGTAATAAAAGAAACAACCTTTATGGAACCAATGAAGCCAAAAACACGAGTGTGGATATTTAAGATTCTTTTCTTTTTATTTTTGGCAAGTAGGACATGTTAGGATTCGATAATTATCCTCACACCATGTCTTCTCCCTTTTTCTTTATATGTATCCATAACAAGTAGAAATGTATGCTAATACATACATCAGTTACATACTATCAACTTTTTCATTATGGTATGCCATGACCACAATCTCATCTTTTCCTAGTCCTCTCTTTTCTTAACGGTGACCTGTTTTGCATCTTCTATTGATAGGATACGGAGGTTTGTCGTGCTACCAGTGTGGATGAGAATATAGTACGAAATCCTCAGTTTGAAGATGGATTAAGTGATTGGTCTGGAAGAGGATGCAAGATTCTCTTGCACAATTCTCTTGTGAATGGGAAAATACTTCCAGTCAAGGGAAGGTATTTTGTTTCAGCAACTGAAAGGAATCAAACTTGGAATGGGATTGAACAAGAAATAACAGGCAGGGTAAGCAGGAAGCTTGCATATGAAGTTACTGCTGTAGTTCGGACATTCGGGAATGCCAATAATGCTGATGTTCGAGCAACGTTGTGGGCTCAATCACCAAATGGTCGGGAACAATATATCGGCATCGCCAAGTAAGATATCACTTTGTTATAACTCATCATTGACATACTTATTGTTGCCATAAGATTAAATTTGACTAATTTACATTCAAGGAAATTACATTAGTGGCCTAAGCGCTATTCTTACTTGAAAAGAATTCAGGCATCAGACAAGGAATGGGTGAAGTTGCAGGGGAAATTCCTCCTAAATGGTGTTGCTTCAAGAGCCATTATATTTATAGAAGGGCCACCACCGGGTACTGATATCCTTGTTGATAGTTTCGTAGTAAGACGGGCAATGAAAGCTGCAGCTTCAGTTCCACCAAGTGATGAGGTCAGTATAGCTAAAATCTTCCCATAAATATTGATCTATGAGATGTCTATTAACGTTACTGTTTAGTTTAATTAACAGAGAAGCTGCAATCATAGGTTACAAAATTGGTACAAATATTAGGATTGTTTAGGGATGATATGGCCAAGATCTATTTGATCAATCGGATTGGATCGGTGAAATAAAAGAAAACTATTTTATGCTACAAGAATCTTTCTTTTTTGAAAGAAGAAACCTTTTTGCATTGATGGAATGAGTAAAGAAAATTATATTAACAAATTCTTTTGCCTTCATAATAGTTAAAATAATAAACTTTCAAAAAAGGTGAGTACATAACTACTATCTGTCATACAAAAGAGTTAAAGCTGCTCCACATATAGTTCTGATTATTTTGAATATAGCGATGGTTTCCATTATAATCCCAGTGCTTCTGTAATCACCATATCAGAGAAGTATTAAATAATACAAAGACAATTAAAAAGTCTTTAATTAAGTGAGTGCTCATGGAATCTGAGACATGGCAAATGCCACATCTTCTCTCTCTAATATGGTATCTCCTTAAGGTTAAGGCTTATTCTTTGTCTCTTCTTTGTTCTACTGATGTTGGACAAAAAATATTGCAACAGTGGTGGAAGATGACAAATATGATGTTTGTAGTGAATAGTAAAAACAATAGCAGCAATATCTCCTTTAATTCACACCTACAGTAGCAATGTCTTCTTCTGTTGCTCCACTCATCTTTTTTTTTCCCCTTCTTTTGAAGTTGTCAAATGGCGTATAGTTGGCCAACTTTGGCTGAGTTTAGTCAACTCAAGTGATTTTTGATCAATTTTCAATATCATATCAGAATTGGTGGACACCATGAGCTATGGTTGCAAGAATATATGGTGAATGATTTAAGTTCCATTTGATGTAATATTGCCAATACTTGCAAGATGAGCTCTTGGGCTTCTGAAAATAATTCATGACAAATTATTGCATGGAACTCTCCATATTTTGGTTCAATGACCTTTTACATTCTTTGAAACCTTAAGAACACATGAAACCTAGAGATGCTTTTCTGTATTTTTCATTCAAGTAATAACCAATGGTTGGAATTTTCATTTGTCTCTTTGTGCAACACTGAAGAAAAGAAATTTGATGTTGACCAGACGGAATGTGGAAGTCTGATTTATGCAGGCTAATATAAATCAAATTCTGGATGAAGCTACTTGCTTAAAAATATATGTAGCACTTTTTTGTTATAAAGTAATTAAGACTTTGATCCTTCCAGTCTTTTATTGTGCTAAAGCCACAGCCAAGTACATACCGTAGTTACTATTGCATATTTATTTGACAAAAATGTTTTGATGTACGTGTGATTAGCTTCAGCTGACTGAAAAATAGGTTGTATTGTAAATTTAAGTGTCACTAACCTTTGTTTTCGAACATACCTTAAGCCTATATTCATTTTACTGAAAGACAAAATACTGCAACTATGCCTATGGGTGTCTTAGCCATTCACCACTGGTTTATAGGGAATAAGAAAGGAGCTAATACAGTAATATAAATTGTTCCAGTTTGTTAAAGATGACTCTAGAGCTGTTTGATACTCAAGTTCACTGCAAACAAGTGCAACAACAGGATCAACAGCAAAAATCAGCATTGATGTCCTGACTATTTTGTCTTTTCGCCCTGTGACACTGTGCTTCAATCTTCCTCATACTAAGCAGTTTCATCCTGTGACCCCTGTCAGTTTCCTTCCTCGAGTGCTTCTGAAATAAAACTAGATGGAATGGTCTAATGTCATCTAGAGTCGCACATACATAATCTATCATGAGGCCCAAGTCATTATTATAAAACTCCATATCAAATGGGTCTATCTTGGGTTCTATCAAAGTGGTTAGTGACAGGGCACTCATTGCTGTTTTCTTTTTTTATAGTATGAACCCTCCAAATTATAGCCAACACTCAACTGCAAAAGGACAAGTAATCAGTTATATTAAGGTAAACCCATTTGATTGAGGTGAAGAAATGACAAATTTTAGTTCTGAATTATGTTACTAGGAGTCATGTTATATTGTGAAATGGTGGTTTCTCACTAGACTAGTCAACATGACATACATAAATAAGTTGACATATATGAATAAGTAATTAATCACAAATTAATAGGAACTATCCTGTAATCAACTAATCATTTTAAAATGACATTGGTTGCGCTTTGAGTAGTTTGTATCTAGTCTTATTATTACATTGTAAACATATTTCAACGGCTCATCATGGGTGGTAAAGTTGTAAATATATTGGTATATAGAATTGAGATACTATCCATAGTGACAATGATATCAACTATTGCATCACAGAATTTGGAGGATAATGTGTGTTTTCCTGTGGTCTTCCAATTTAATGAGCTAGTATAAGGGAGCTAGAGCGTTCAGTGAACATGGCTTTCAGTCTTATCATTTTTTACTAGATAGACTTAAAGAAGATAAAGTGGGTGACAGTTCGAGTGAGACTGGTTATTGGAATTCTCCCTATGTAAAACTATGCATGCATCCAGTGATGATAATAATATCCATAGGAACATGGCTTCCAGTAAATGAGAGATGCTCTATTTTTCCTCATAATTGGGTATGGCCGGTCACCTTCATCATGAGGTCTATACAGTGGATTGTACATAATAGCCAAAAAATGTAGGCTCTATTCTCCATCAATTTTTCATCAATCTTTTTATAGTTTGTTATATTGTTGCTGACCATTTGTACTACAAAGGAACTGGGTTCAATCTCATCTATCCAAGTTTATTAGATTCTAGAAGTACCATGTAAGGAATAAAATTTCGGATATCAGACCCATACTAGTTGATGCCTGGACTGGTATTGGTTCAGTCGATGTCGATGTATCGGTAGACACATGGCACACTGTGTATGCAGACACACAGCACACCGACATGTACCAAGGTACTATGCTGCTAAGGGAGGGGGAGGAAGAGGAAGGAGGAAGCAGAAGGGGAAGAAGAAAGAAGGGAGGAGGAGAGGAGGTGGAGGAAGAGGAGGAATACCTGAAATCGTGGCCCTGGGATTGTGGCGGTGATCGAGTGATACCACAGAGAGGGAAAATAGGCTGCGTTGGGGGAGCCACAGTGGTGGAGCAAAAGTAGAGAAGGAGAATAGGCTCACAACCTCTCATGATACCTAAGAAGCATGAGTTCAGGTCTTTCAAGGCGAAAAAGGGGTTCAAACTCTTTTAGACAAAAAAGAAAAAAACTGGTCCAGACTCCCCGAAATGAGCTGATCAGTGTCTCAATTGTCAGCTGCTTTTTCTCTCTCCTCGCCTCTCCCGCCCTCTCTCTATCTCTCTCTCACACTTTCTTTCTCTCTTTGACATGTCTCTCTTCCTCATCTTCCACCTCTTGTTCCTCCTGCTCTTCCATTTCTCCGCTGCTTCATCCACCCTATTGTGTCACTATTGCCGCTTCCTCAATATTGTCACCACTTCCTTTCCCTCTGATACACTTCACTGTCTCCTTCCACCTCGCCAGTTCTCCTTTTCCTCCACTTGTCCCTCCCCTCCTCCCTATTCTCAACCTCTTCCTGGTCTAGACAGTACTGACCCAGACTCACTGGATCAAAATTTTAAACCTTGCTGAGGAAGGTCAGTATTCTCAGCATTTTCCCTGATACAATATTGCTTATTCCATGAAGTTTCCTTTTGCTACCGATGATAATTTGAGAATGCTGATATAGCTTGACATGGTATTGACAAAACTAGGGTAGACTATACTACATTTTGTCATGTTATTAAAATTTCATTTATTGTGTTCCTTAATCATGTTTAAAGATATGATGGATGTTAATTTTAGGTTCAACACATGCATCGAGATAAGAGTTTAACATTTACATGGCTGTGATGGTTGACTGTCTAATCATGAGGTTTTGCTTTATCTCAGATGCTACACTATCGATATGAATAAAATACCTGCTGAATATTGTCTTCTACTTTCAGGGTTTCAGAGACAATATTGATTCAAGGAAGGTTGTCAGTACCAATATTATATCAAATCATGATTTTTCCAGAGGACTGCAGTCTTGGTCCCTTAATCTTTGTGATGGGTTTGTTGTATCAGGGGAATTTGGTCCTTTAAAGGGAGTCACTGCAAAAACTGGATCAAATTATGCAGTCCTAACAAATCGATCTGAGAGCTGGCATGCTTTGGAACAGGACATAACGAATAAAGTTTCAACTGGTTTAACCTACAGTGTCTCTGTCATTGTTCGAATTTCGGGAGCTCATCAGGAACCTTCTGCAGTCAAAGCAACACTTAAGCTGGAGCACCTGGACTCCCAACTGAGTTATATATCTGTTGGAAGGTTGCAGCTCTTGTAATTAGAGAATAACTGCTTTCATGTCGATATCAGTTTTTCTTGGTTTTAGAAAGTTGAAAATGGCTATTTCTGCAGGGCTATGGTGTCGAAAGAAAGATGGGAAATGTTAGAAGGCTCATTTTCATTGACTAGCATGCCAAAATGTGTGATTTTTTATCTGGAAGGACCTTCTGCAGGTGTTGACTTGCTGATTGATTCTGTTGTAGTTTCTTGCTCTGATGTGGAACATTGTGAGGTATGAAATGATTGTCTTAGAAGTTAAATCTAACTTCAATCTTTCAAAATGCACTAAACTTTTTGAGATCCATCAACATACTGGTATGTTAGTTTGGTGACTTCATGTGCCTGAGATACTCTTTGAGTATAATCTGTATATTTCATGTCAACTATTCTACAATGAACTTACCTAGTCACTTGTTTTGGAGTATCATGGTTCATCTGTATATTATTGCTTCTTGGCTAGGGCCTTTTTTGTTGCTTGTAGTTGGGGATTCCACTGCAATGATTGGTTTGATGTAATTAAAGATGTAACTGCCTGAAGTTATCATCACCCCAAAAGGAGTTAGAAAGGGTTTGAGATACAAATATGCAATCAGTAAATAATTCAATTTAAGTTGTTATAGCCTCTAAACTTCCACAGTTGAATATAACATCTATTTCTGCGCTGTTAGTTTGAGGAAAGTTTTCTTCTTTTTTTCCCTGTCAATCTGAACAACTGCAATACCAATCTGCAGCAGTTCAGGTTACGTATGCCTATTCCTTGACAAGCTTTTTAAGTGACCATTGATCAATGCTTGCACCTAACCACATTTTAGCCTATTCTTAAGACCCTGTGTTTTTTGGTTACAATGTATATGGCCATCTTTGTTCCTCTGTTACCATCAGTATCTTATTCCTCACAGTTCAGCCATTTTTGTTTGTGTTGGTTTCTGTTCTCATCCAACTTGCTTTGATAGGTTAAGCTATCTATCTATTTATCCTTCACTCTGTGGATTCTACTTTTCAGTTTTCATGATTAACTTATGTGAAAAAAAAGAGGATAAATCGTGTGAAAGACAATCACCTCGCCTAGTGGTTTAGATGTGATACTTGACAGTGCTGTTTGTTGTGCATAATGGCAATGCTTAGTTGAAGTTTGTAGGGAATTAGGATTTTAGTTACAGTTCTACGTTAAGGTCCCTTCTCCTGATCTTTACTCTTTATCATTGTATGACTTTGCTTTTCTGGCTTTTGTTTATTCATGATGAAAATTACTTTTGACATTTCTTTTCCATTTGATTTCTAAACAAATCCATTCCTGAAGAAACAGAATTTGCAATAGTTGGGATGATGCAGTATTTAAACAAGATCATATGTTACACACTTGATTTTGCAGGATGTTTCACATGGAGCTAACATAATCAGAAATAGCTCTTTCACTGATGGCCTTAATTGGTGGAATCCTCTTGGCTCGTGTAAGCTGAGCATAGGCACAGTTCCAGAGGAGTTCTTTCCCTTAGCAAAGGATTCTGTCAATCACAATCAACCAATAAGCAGCCATTTTATCCTCACTACAAATCGCACAGAAACCTGGATGGGCCCCTCCCAGATAATAACAGACAGGATTAAGTTACACGTAACCTACCAAGTTGCTACTTGGGTACGTTTAGGTTCAGGAGCAACTAGTCCTCATCATGTCAACGTAGCACTTGGTGTAGACAACCAGTGGATCAATGGGGGGCAAGTTGAAGCTAACTCTGACAGATGGAACAAAATTAGAGGATCATTCAGAATTGAAAAAAGACCATCTAAAGTTATAGTTTATGTGCAAGGTCCTCCACCAGGTGTCGATTTGATGCTGTCAGAACTGCAGATATTTCCTGTAAATAGGAAGGCACGATATAAAGTTCTCAAGGAAAAAGCTGATAAGGTATTTTCAGTCATAAGATTTTTTTCCATGATTGCAATTATAACATAGAAATATTTATATTTCTTTGAAAAGCATAATAATATTATTGTTTCCTAAACCCGTGCTTGTCAAATAATGTTATTTTGCATCTTTTCCTGCAGATACGAAAGCGTGATGTCATCCTTAAATTTTCAGGTTCTGAGAATGAAGGTCTTGTCGGTGCATCTCTGAAGATTAAACAAATTGACAACTGCTTTGCTTTTGGGGGTTGTATCAACAGATCAAACATTGAAAATGAGGACTTTGTTGATTTCTTTTTGAAAAATTTCAATTGGGCTGTGTTTGGGAATGAGCTGAAGTGGTACCATACAGAGTCACAACAAGGAAAATTCAATTACAAAGATGCAGATGAGTTATTAGATTTCTGTCACAAACATGGTAAGCAGACAAGAGGCCACTGCATCTTCTGGGAAGTAGAAGATGCCATCCAGCCATGGGTGCGATCGTTGGACTCTAATGATCTACTGATAGCTGTCCAGAACCGTATCAGAGGGTTACTATCTAGGTACAGAGGCAAGTTTAGGCACTATGATGTGAACAATGAGATGCTCCATGGATCTTTCTATCAAGATAGGCTGGGAAAAGATATCTGGGCATACATGTTTCAAGAAGCCCATCAATTGGATCCTTCTGCCATTCTGTTTGTCAATGATTATAATGTAGAAGATGGATGTGATTCTAAGTCCACTCCCGAAAAGTACATTCAGCAAATCCTTGATTTACAGGAACGAGGTGCACCTATAGGAGGGATTGGTATACAAGGTCATATCAGCCATCCGGTTGGAGAAATTATATGTGATGCACTGGACAAGTTGGCGATACTTGGTCTCCCTATTTGGTTCACCGAATTGGATGTCTCTGCAGAAAACGAATATATTCGAGCTGATGACTTGGAGGTTATTCTTCGAGAAGCCTTCGCGCATCCTGCTGTCGAAGGCATCTTGCTCTGGGGATTCTGGGAATTGTTTACATGCAGGGATCATTCCCATTTGGTGGATGCTGAAGGCAACATAAATGAAGCTGGTAAAAGGTACCTTGCTCTGAGGCAAGAGTGGTTATCTCATGCTGATGGCAACATCGATACGCAGGGTGAATTTAGATTCAGTGGATATCATGGTACATACACTGTGGACATTGCTACTGCTTCCAAAAGTATATCAAGGTCATTTATCGTTGATAAGGGAGATTCTCCTCTTGTTTTGACCATAGATAAGTAAGTTGTACATCATCACTTTTGATGCTCAAAGATGCATGATTTCAGGAACTTGTAAAAGAAAACACTGCAGAAAGGATTCATAGATGTGTCAGTGGGATTTGTTTGTATGTTGGTGAGCAAATGAAGGCTTGTTGGTTTGTTGAAAAATAAGACGAGACCTGCAGAAAAATGATGCAAGATTCTGTCTTGCCTTGACATTTACATTCATGATGATACATGTATATATATATATATATATTCTTCACCATCATTATAACTTTGGTTTGTTTCATTTCAGGCCTCAAAGTTATGGACGATTAGAGTTCTTGTTTCTGCTCTACTGGACAATGAGACAGTAATTTGTCCGGAGTTAAATCTGGAACACTTTGTCGTCAATGAGTTATTGCAAGCAAAATTTGTGGTGTGTCAATCCCTTGGAGACGATTGAATAGGTCTTAATCTTGCCAAATCTATGATAGGGTATAGTCCAATTCATTCCTTTGATCTCATAGTATAGTCAACCTATAAGTTCTGACTGAAGTGGTTATACTGCATCTAATTATAGATTATTTCTTGTAATTAGTTATCTTTTTAATATTTTGATTCTTACATTTTAAAAAATTATATTGACATCCTTATAATTATGAATGTAAAATATTTAATTTTGTCTTTCCTTACATTGTCGACTTTACTAATGAAATATATTGTACGTATTTTCATATATAAAAATAATAATAAAATAAAAAATAAAAAGATAATTTTATTATTCTCATCATTCAAAGAATATTAATTTCACAGAAGGATAATTTTTGTGAAAGTTTCATTGTCTTCCCTTTGACGTTGTCCTCTTCTATAACTTCGTTATCCTCTTGGATGGGGAGGGGAGGACAAAGGTGACAAATATAAGGACGAGGATGAGAATAACAAAATTGGAGGGGAGGACAAAGTTAGAGCTTTCACAAAATTATTCTTTTATGAAATTAATATCATTTGGATAGTGAGAATAGTAAAATTATCTTTTTATCCATCTTTTAAATATTTTTTTATCGCTCTTTTAAACAATATTTCTACGTGACAGTATCTTCCATTGATGACGTGAAAAAAAACAGAGTTAAATATTTCACTTTTGTAACTACAATCATCTTAATGTAACCTTTTAAAATATCGAAATCGAGATACTAAATATAATTAACTACAGATGATCATATATAATTAGCTCGAAAAATAACCAATTTATACTAAATATAATTAACTACAGATGATCATATATAATTAGCTCGGAAAAAAACCTAAATTGGTTTTACACTGTAGACTCGTCTTAGGTTTTTTCTGTGTAATATGATTGGTAATTTGATTTCTTGGGAAGTTGATGAATCATATGGAGGTTAAAATTAAAACAAAACTGATCTAATGAAAGACAAATTGGCAATGCTTGTGAATCAAATTAAGAAAATATTAGTCGTGCTTGTAAAGGACAAAGACAAAGAGCATGCTATCGTTAATCATTTAACATTTTTGTTTTGCCTATCACTAATAGCTTTTTTTGAGCCGAGGGTAGCATTGTGGTTGAAGAGAACATTTACTAATGATTTAGATCAAGATCTGCCATACCGAAGTGTACCGCCCGTATCGGGCGATACGTACCGATCCGACAGGTTACCGGTACGCGGACCGTCCGATACCGTTACAGTGCTACAATATAATACTGTATCACTGCTACAGTGCTATAATACTATACTGTAGCTACAATACTATACTGTAGCGGTGCTACAGTATGAAAGAAATAAAAAATTATTCGGTACGCCCTGATGTATCGTTCGGTACCGTACTGTACCGAGCCCGGGTCAAAATGCCAGTACGGTACGATATAGCAAACATTGATTTGAATATGAAAAGCATTAGTCATATGCTCACCGGAAACAAATAATTTTTGGTTCTCTATTTAAAGAGGACTTGGACTTTCTTTGGGAGATGAAATCCTCAAATGTTGATCAAAATCCTGCCAAAACACTCAACAATAATACTCCTATTCCAATGAACTAACCCTTTTTCTTCTGGTTGTGTGTGCATAGAAAAGAAATCACAATCACATATTGGGGCTGCATTCTCTGGAGAATTAGCCTTAAAGACTGTTCTTTTTTCATTAATCCATTGATATGATTAATTACAATCATAAACAAAATCATCAGGAGTCTCATTACTAAGTGAACAAAAATTATGCTTGCATCATTTAGAAATGTCTCATTCTGCAGGTGATAAACTTGGGAAGTTTGTCCATGGTGTGTACTAGAGCACTCTTAAAACAAGCAATTCATCCCACTTTCAATCCACAATTTTCTCAATTACTCCTAATGTGGGGTAAGATAATCTAATTAAACAAAAGATAGTAAAAGAGAAGAAGACGAACAGAAACCTAAATGAGTGCGAACGCTTTCCACAGAGAAACCTTTCCCAACTGTATAGAATCATGCATTAGAATTCAAACATCATGTCCTGCTCAACGAAAGCTACTTGTAAATGTGGCTTTCAAACAGGTCACTCTCCAAAACTCATGGAGAACAAAGTTCATGCTGGTTTAATGTCGTTGATGAAATCACTGACCTTCCTAAACCAATTCATGATGTTGTGATGATCCTTCAGATATAGCCAAGATTGGAGAAAAGGGAAAAGCCTTTTACTAACTCCACGTTCTTCTAAATATATACAAAAAGCATCCCTCAATTGCTGGTCCAACGCCCTGCAAATTCAGCCAGAGCAGTCATTTGAGGAGAAAAAGGTAAAATCTGTTCATGTTTTCAGTTGAACTAAAACACCAGATAAAGAAAACCTGATAACTCATAACAGGTGTATTTCAGAATAAGCAAAAATCGTCCAAGACCATGAGAATCAATTGGCTTTATATCTCCAGCAATTTGGGGTGCTCACTTCAACAGACTGTTCACAGAAACTACTTCTATATTTCTATTTAAATTATTAATTGTCTTTCAGCTTTGGATTTATATACGAGAAACATCCTAGAAAAATGCAAGAGATAATCAAGTTTAGCCTAACTTGTTGAAAAAAATTGCAAATTGGCTTGTATGCAAGTGTTTGATACTGCAGAAATTATCAGTGGAATCATCATGCCTGTGTGCGGCAAAGCCTGATAAAATGCGAGTTTTGATAGACTCAAACATATATATCAAACTACATGCAATGTCTTCTTTCATTTAATGCTTAGGAGACATATGAATGCGATAGTCAGAAGAGGTGAAATGATTACTATTAGTGATACAAAAACAAGTCAAGAAAGACCTAAAAAGACTTTAACAGAAAACTTTTGATAGATCTTAATGGTGGCAAAAGATCCATGTAGTCGACACTATATAGTTGAGACTTACGACCTTGTTGCTGTTGGTGTATCAGCACAGAGTGCAAACTCAATCTAACCAACATAAAAGTTTAGTTAGATTGATAGTACTAGCATAAGCAACTTCAACAAAAACCGAAACAAGCAAAACGAACAAAGCCTAATCATGTATTCTATTTGTTTGCTAAAGAAATCCTACAATAGCTGCATGTTAAACATTTGCCAATACAAAACATCAAACCAGCAGGACAGCATGAAATGATAAATTTAAACATCTCAACAATCATAAATCATTTCAAATCTCATCCACATAGAAAGAAAAATGAATCTTGTAAGGCATATAAAATGCACAGCACCAATTCAGGTTTGGCTGACAGCCAAAGACAATGTAGGAATAACTTAAGTCATTTTCAGCAATTCATCTTGATCAATTTTAAGTACAGGCAAGTGTGCTATCTTTAAAATATGGCTATGCAAAGGCAGCCAATAATGGTCATATGATGAAAATACTTACAGAGATCATATCATTGAAGGATTACCTTGAGATAAGTCAAGTCAACAACTTGATGATAACAAAATGCATGCACATTAAAGTTCTCAATCATCAGTCCAAAATATCTTGGTTCATGTCCATCTTAATCAATTTAAGTGAAGGCCAATATGCTAACTTTTTGGTCTATGGTCAAAGCGAAAGCAGCCAACTACTGACATTTTTCGGGCAATCCAGAATTACCTTCTAATAAAATCGAACCAACAACTTCAAATGTTTAAAGACAGAAAGGTGATAACAGATGAGAAAACAAGTGTCAGAGCTGCAATCATGCACTCAAGTTAGCAAATTAACGATCTACCTCAGACACTTCTGGACTATGTTTTGCACTTGAACATTATTGGTATCAACAATTTCATTCGATTCACTTTCAAAATCGGAGACCACAGATTGTAGTGAATCAGCCAGAATATATGTTAGTCCGAAAACTACAATATTAATCATCTCATCAATTAGGGCAGTCGAATTACACCAAGATCGCAACTTTTCACAAACATTTTACCACTGATACTGAAAGCAAACGGAAATCTCAAGCACACTTTCATCAGATCAGGGAAACAGAGAAAGACTACAAAAAGTACAGTAATCAACTTACAGGAAGACGCGGCCCTGAGACAAATCAGGGGTTTGCTTAGAGATGAGGCACACAGAAAGGATTCCGACGGCATCCGGATAAAGCCCACAGAGAAAAAGGAGTGAGTTGCTCCGCCCGGGCCTCGACACATTCACATAAAGGAAGAGCTCGCTGATGAAGTCATGGCCTCGATCGACCTCATCCTCATTACCTCCACCACGAGACGGGATGGCAAAGGCGCGGCGTCGGACCGATATGCTGATCTCTTCCTCCCCGTACGCCCTCCGGAGCACCGGCCCCTCGCTCCGGTCCAGCGCCCCCTCTACGACAGAGTACGGCGGGGGCGGTATCAACTTCTTCTTCTAAAGTTCATGCAAGAACGAGAGGTTAGGGACGAAACGGGGCCTTTATGAGGACAGAGGAGCGGGCATGACGTTACCGAGGGCGGGGTGATATTGGAGACTTCTCGGAAGTGCTCTTCAACGGAGCGGCGGAGCTCAGAACCCACAGCGGTGGAGACGGAGAATCGCCGTCTCCAAGAAGCCAGCCGGGCGGTGGCAGCGAAGGCTTGCTTCCACATTGCTCCACTGAACCCGCGTTCGAAGACGAATGGGTTTACTCCACTAGACTATATAATTACGTTTTATGGAAACGGCAAACGGGGAACGGGAAATAGGTCTTTCTCTTTTCCGGATCGGTTTTTCTGTCGGGTTCAGAATAAACCCGTATGCCAGGAAACAGGAAATTGGCCTTTCTCTTTCGGATCGAGTTCTTGTCGGATTCAAACCAAACCCGCACCGTTAAATATATTGTTCAAGGTGTACTCGATCTTTCGAGCAGTGCCGGCGAAGCTGCAAGGCAGGAAACGAGGGCCTCCCCAAGGTGAGATAAAGAAGATCTCTCTCGCTCGCGTTTTGTCCTTTGTTTGGAGGTGCTATCGATCTAGGATTAGGGGTTCAACTCGAGGGATCTCACTTGGGTTCCTGCCCCGATTCGCCGTCCCATTAGGGTTCGACTTCGACCCCCACCTCGTGTTAGGCGGAACTTAGGTTCCGTCGGCTCGATCGTGGCTTGCTTCTCACGCTAAGAACGCTTAGGATTGGGCCGAAGAGCAATTAAGGTCAATGTGCATGGGTGTCCACATTCTATTTCGAGGCTACATTAGAGGAGGTAACTTCTAATAAAGCTTAATGAAGCATTGTGGTGGTTATGTGATTTATATATCGTGCAATCTGCGTCGAGAAGATTTTATTTGAAGCAGCTTAAGCTCTTCTTGTTCATGCCATTTCCTGTTGTGCCAAGTGCAGATTTTGTTGAAAGAATTTTGGTCATGCCATTCATATTCAGTAATCATTCTTACATACTTAGGTTTCCTTAAAACTGGTAATCTTTGTTTTTATCCGTGCTTCTGATTCAAAAGATGCAGTTTATATCTAATGTGCTGATTATTCTATCATCAACTTGCATTAATTTCCTTCTTTCAGCTGTTCAGTGTCATTCGTGATATTGCATCCCTTTTGTGACGTCTCATTAAATAGATTCTGCGTCCACTTATTATTCCAGATATCTTATTTATCTTTCTTTTTTTTCTTTGCAATGATCCAACACTGTTTGGAGTTACTATGTCTTTCATATAACATATGGGTTCTGAGTTTTAGCATATAGAGCCAGAAACATCAATACTCTGAAGTGAATCAATAATCAAGATAAATGGCTTCCTCACATCTACCTCAACTTTACATGTGAGAATCAGGTAGCTTTATGATGATTTTTCAAACTTATGTATTGTGTTGTACTATTTGATCTCCTGTCAAAGTGCAAGTTGAAGTATGGAGTCTGCACACATCTATCTAGTCCATTTGTCATTTTGAGCTCAATATTCATTTGCATGTGCATTTCTTTAAGTGACTTCTACAATTGTTCTATTTAAGAATTTAATTTGGAATTTCAAGTTAAGCTAGAGGCAAAAGAGTAGCTTTGCTCTTAACTCTTTTCTAGGAACATATTGTTCAATTTCAATGGTTGTTCCTTAGAAAAAACCACTTACTGACCAATCTTTGCAATTAAGTGTTCTAGATAATTTATCAGTTATTCATTACAGTGCCCTTATTATGTACTTAAACTTGGACCTTACAAGTTTATCTAGCACTAGAAGCATATAAAACCTTCATGGTTCCTTTCGACAATAGTATAGTCTGTTGCTTAGAATGTAGCTGCACTTAATGCTTCTTGGTGTTCATTAGAGACTTTTTCTTTGTCATTGTACTAAATATATAACTACTACAGGGTAGTTGCTGTTTTGTCTTTTTCTTCACTGCAAGCATGTTGATAAATAGACTGGGGCTCTTTTCCAGTGAAAAAAAAAAAGGGCGGCAGGGACAATATGCTGATTTAGGCATCAATCCTTTGGTAGCTGCACAGATGCAATACATGTCAGCACAGAGCCTACAACACAACTCTGGTATGAGTCATTTTCCAGGAGGATCAGATTCTTTCCAGCCTGGTGAAGAACATCAATATATGCCTTCTAAAGAAGAGGGACAATGGCAGTGGAATAGAAATGACCCAAAGGGATCAAATCATCTATCTCAACTGTATAAAGAAGGCAGGTGCTGCTTAGCTTGACATTGAAAATCCTGTGCAATTATGTTACAATAGAGATTGCCATTTTTCTTGTCCTTTTGCAATATTGTTGCTACTTTTTTAGTTGGAGTATTTTTAACTTTCAAAACTTTGTATGTGGCCTTTGAATTTGTTTCACTGCACTCCATTTCAAATTCATCTCTCCTACGGCACTTGACCAAAATTTTAGTTGATCCAGTTTCCCAATCAAGTCCATTTCCTAGTTTATCACTTAGGTTAGGTTTTCATGGTCAAAACCATGAAATGTTTTGCACACTAATAATAACAAATATTTGATGAAACGATCTTGCAGTTATTTGTATGAACCTGTATGAATGAACAATACATAACCCATATTTAAAGCTGAAAGTCTGAAACCATCTCATAATAGACTCATTCCAGCTGATAAGGTGAATCATGTCATGGAACATATCGAGCATGATTGCTATCATGCTAGAAATTGGTCTCATAACACCTGTAATATATGCATCCATTTTTTCTGGCAAACAGGAGCAAAATAGTTGTTTTGGGATTTGCTATCTCTTGCTTCCTCGTATTTTTTTCACTTATATTAACTCTACCTTGATAATTGTCAAGGCGAGATGACAATATTTTGCAGTGTATATGGAATAAACAAGCAAGGGTCTCATTTTTCAAAACAAACCATATTCTTTATATCGGGTAATGTTTGGGAAACCTTCTCTTGTGCTAGCGGCTCACAAAGTTTTTTATGGAATCTGTTCAGATTAAGTTAGACCTAGGAAAACCTGAATTAAGTCGGAGGCTTTTAGCAAAGTTTGCATTTACAACTGTAGCTTCTACTGGAAGAAACTAGCAAACTGGCACCTTTTCTTTTCTAGTCATGAAATAATTTCACATTTGAATTCTCATTGCTTCAAATATAGTTCTGTTCACTCTTTCCCGTGGTTGTTTAAAATTGTTTTGTCTGCTTACCATCTTTGAACTAAATGGGTGATGCATTTGGCTGTAGGCCAAGGAAGTGATGTTTCATGCTCTTTGTATGAAGGACAAGTGTCTGATACAAAATTAGGTATGGATATGCAGGCCACTAAAGACCCAAGAGCACTAGCTTATGAGGATTAGCCGGAGGCCAGATTTGAGGATAGCACTCTTCCTCAAACTTTGGAAGGTCTTGAACAAAAATTTCTTTATGATATTATGAACTTGACCAAGGAGCAGCAGGAAGCAGAGGACAGAGAGAATGCTAGACATCGAGAGGTAACTTCAATTAAATAGTTTTGATTTGAATACTTTTGATTTCTTCTTTATTCCCCCTTGGAAAACATGAAATAGTCAATCAAACACTAAGGATGAGCTCTAGCTCACCATTTGAGTTTCTTGAAGTTTAGACCTGCAGACGCAAAAAGTTCATGTTTAGTTTTTATATTGGCAAACAGCAGATGAAATTTAAATTAGGTATTTTGGAAGATCTTTGACATAAAGATGGGGATATGATATTTGTAGGAAGTAGCAACCCCCATCGAGTGTTTGATAGTCAATGGGTTGAATATACTACTAAAAGACTCTTCAATGTGACACATGGCACTTTACAGACAGGTTGCTAAAACAGTTGATGAAAAGAAATTAATTCATCAAATAAAGAATAAGTAGAAGGATGGCAATATTGGTTTTAGTTCTATATATCTTCAAGATATAATCAGTTTGTTTTGAAAAACTTGAAACTAGTTCAACACTATGAGATGTATTTTGCCATTTTATAGGTGAAATTTTAGAGTTTGGTAATTGGTAGTTAGTGACTTATTGCAAAAAATCATGATTCTTTGTATTTAAGTGGTCATTGTTTCAGGAGACTACGCAATTTCCTGCAGTAGCTTGGATAGAGTTACTAGATGATGGTGATTTGAGGAACATTGGCACAGGTGCACATAAAGTTAAAAGCAGATAACCTGCTAATAAATTATATTTTTATTCTTTTAGGCTTCAGTAATATCTTTGGTCTACCATCACTAATTTCTACCAGCAATTATAGTTTTCTGTGGGACTGTTACCTGGGTTAATCTGTACTGCTTGGGACAATTTATTGTCTGCTGGGAGTGTCTCCAAGATTTAGGGGAGTTCTTTGCTGAATATTTTGCTCCATTTCTGGGTGTGCCACCAAGGAATTGATGGATAATTTGTGTGTTGGTGGAATTGATGGAATAATTTGTGTGCAATTTATTGTCTGCTGGGAGTGTCTCCAAGATTTAGGGGAGTTCTTTGATGAACATTCTGCTCCATTTCTGGGTGTGCCACCAAGGAATTGATGGAATAATTTGTGTGTGTTGGTGGAATTGATGGAATAATTTGTGTGTGTGTGTTGCTATGTTACACTTATAGGTGTCTTCTTGCTTTTAATAACTTATTCTGTCATATTTTAGGTCCAGCCTCCCATATCCTTAAGTTTCTGCATTGAATCGATTCTAAATGCTTGCACAAAATTTTTTTGAGCATTATCCTGGTGGTCGTGGCTTTGGTTCTCATGATCATTATCCTGGTGGTCGAGCTTATAACTCCAGAGGCCGACATTTTTGAACAAAGTTGCAAAAATGTTTCTCCTCATCCTTTGGCCTGTCATCACTGCTTGACAACATTATTCTGAAGACTCGTATCTCAGTAGTATTGATGAAGCACAAATAGCTTTTCTCTAAGCGGCAACTGTTCTGCTGAATGCCGATCATGTCTGGATATATGGGTGTGTAGCAGTGTAGTGGATAATCTTCAAAATTTTCTTAGTGTATTTCACTGTGAATTACTTCAATATCATCACCTCGATCAATATATTTGTTCTGAACATGGTGGCAACAGAGCTCTAGACTTCCTCATCATAATTCTGGGCAGGCTTAGCTTCAGTTTGAGATTTTCTCGAATGATCATCAGGCAGTGTTTCTTTCACAGGTGTTAAATGCAACAGACCTTATGATTTTTTTTTTTGGTTTATATTATTAATTTGAATATGTGAACTTCCAGTTCATCTGCTTGGGTTATTATCTATTTATCTTTATTTATCCTGTTACTTTTTGCCTTTTGACAATCATATTTTTTTTTACTCAGGACAGTCGTGAGCATGCTGGTTGATCTTAATATATCAGCACTCAACCTTCGTCAAGGCAAAATTTCATATACGCCAGTGAAAGACCAGTCTTCTATTTGCGCTTTCAAGAGTGTAATTATCAAATTTGTCCCTCATGGAGCTATAAATTCTTTTGTCACTGGTATATTCATGGTGGATGCCTGTGAACTCAGTGTGCTACCATCAGCCATATCTACCCCTAAACTAAGGTACATGTGATATTTTTTATATGTTGGAATATTATATTTACTCTTTCTGGTATGCTGCATGATGACTCATAATTTCATCGAAGCCCTTGCCAAGTAGTTTTTATTATATATGCCATTTGTAACATAATAAAATGTTCATAAATGACATTTTCCATGGGTACTGATGATATTTATAGAATTTAAGAATGTCCTCGTCAAGTGTCACAGCTGTTACATTTTCAAAAATTTTACATGTGGACATTTTCATATTTTGAAGAGGATATGATATTTACTCTTTCTGTATATGCTGCATGATGCTTATAATTTCACCAAAGCCCCTGCCAAGTAATTTGTTTCATATATGCCCCTTGGAACATCACAAAATGCTCATAAATTACATTTTTCAGGGATAGAATGTCTGCTTCAAGTGTTACATATTTGAAAGTTCTATATGTGATATTTTTCATATTTTGATGGGAATATGATATTTACTCTATGCATACGCTGCATGATGAACCCCACCCTGCCAAGTAATATTTTATCTTCATATATGCCCCTTGATACATCATAGATTTTTGGAATGATTGTTGAGTTTTAGAACGTCCTCTTCAAATGTAACAAAATTTATGTATCTGAAAACTTCCAACTTTGGAATTCTGTACTGGTTTTTCTTTTCCATTTAAGTAGCTAAGATTTCTCCAATAGATCAAAGATCTGGGAACCAAGTTTTCCACACTGATCACAGTATCAAGTTGGTCATTGAGTGGTTATTATGCTCACTGCACTAGTTAGGGAATCCTTGATTCGATTGAAGAGGTCTGAATGTTTGCTTGATTTTTGTTGTCATATTCTGTATATGTGGGTTGTATATAATGTAGTCAGTCGATTTCAATTTGTTGACAGTTAGTCTAATTATTAGTGTAATGATGTTGGAATTGCAATTGACACCCATCAGATTACTGTATCTAACCCTCTAATATTGGACATTCGGATTGAAGCCTGTGTGACGATAGGTGTGGGGAGAAATTTTAGGTATTTAACTTTGAAGGATTAGATACATAAAGACTTATATTTGATCTTCAAAAGAAGGAACAGTTGGTGTACAAGAATTTAAAATTTAAAAAAGAAAAAGAATGTGAGCTCTAATAGATGTTCATCAAACTAGAAAAAGGTGTCCCATTCCATCCTCATCAATAATGCATGGCCACGATACCAAGGAATCCAATGTTATGATAACATTTGTTTTGTAGCTACTGCACAAGGAGAGGAGCACAAGGCACTGTTTGACGGGCCTATGTCTCCTCTTGCATTCCCATTAGATCCAACCATCGTACGGTCACCACCAATCAATAGCTAGATCTTTCGACGGCCATGGCTACTAGAAATGTGATCCTAAGAATGTAAAAGATAGGTGTGTATCTTACATCGGGTTGGATCCAATTGGATGCAGATCGAAAAACCCATAAGAGATTGTAGGATCCTTAATCTAATTCCATCGGTACTCGAACGTCATGAATGAAGGATTGGGATCCGACCCAGTAAATGGGTTACCGATACTCGAATCAGATTCGGATCCAAAAAAGTGGATTGTCTTCGTAGAATGAATGGATCAACCCTGACCCCATCATAATCCACCATGATCATATCATTTGTGTGGCAAGTGGGATCGTATTGTGCTGGTCACTAATTTCCGTCGTCTCATTATCTTCCAAAAGCTCTGGTCGGCTGCATTATTATTATAGCTAGAATTTAGCAGGTAAATACTCGTGAGCATTACTCTCCGTACTAGCTCGATTGCTTACCCGCTTCGTGATTGGACGCTGAGCTCGGAACCCTCACACGGCAGGAAACATGAGTCGGATACCTCGTATGCGACGAGATGCACAGGTAAATAAGCCCTGTTCTTATGATGGGACAATGGGCGGAGTGCCACCTATCACACGGCAGGTTTCCGACTCGCTCAATTTTCCACAGGGTTTATCTGCCTTATGATGGGAGACAAAAGGGGACCCACCAGGCTTGGAGAGGGTACAAGTTGTGGTTTCGTCCTTGTCCTGTGCGACCCGCATGCGTGGATGGAGATCCAATCCACAGCGTACGATGCTACTCGTTGATCATCAAGTGGATGGAGATCCGGCTGTTTGAACGATGACAGCGGATCTCCGCCTGTTCTCGCCAGCCGAGCTGTCTTGTAACCGACGGCTAAATCATTGGGGGCAGCATCCAACGGCTGTGATCTTTCCGATGCTTCGTCCCGGCAGTCCGATCTTCCATCCCAACCACATCCCACGTTCTCGCCAGCTCACGTCGTGCGCCGGGCGCGGAAGACCAGATAATTCCGTCATCTCGAATCAAATATGGCGTTACCCGATGTCCTACCTGACATCTCTGACACATATGGCCCACAAGGTTCCGGAGTAATGGAGCCGGTACTCGGGTGGGGAATTGTTTGAAGAGTAAGTTAAAAAATGGCATAGAATTCCTCCGCTCCAAGGGGCCGCCATGTAGGCGATGAGGACGCTGACGTGTCAAATATACCCCAGTGACGGATCTCGTTAGCATCAATCTTCTACGTAATATCGAACTAAGATGAGAGTTATATTGGTAACAACGAAGTGGCATTTTTGTAATATTTTTCTTCTTTACTCTAGTTTAAAATAGGTGGCCGGTCCGCTCGTCGTCTCGTCGTAGACGAGCAGACGATGGGAGGGGTCGGCGACATGAGGCGAAGAAACTAGCGTTGCGGAGGGGCTGACACCGAATTCTAGATTCTGAACCGGCTGATCTCTTTTTCACCGGAGGGGTTTCCGGTGGAGTTCGATCTGAATCTGCGTGGTTCGATCTCTGCGGAGGCTCCGGATCATGGTCATTCTCGCTCATCCTGGGGATGCTTGTGGCGATTCGGGGCCGTAATTCGACTTGAGGGATTGAGCTCGTGAGGTACCTTTCTTGTTCTTGTTCTACGCTATTCATCTGTTCCCAATTCGGGGAACAGTGAGAAGTCTGTAGATCTTTGAGTGTGAGTATGTTTCTTGTGATTTCATCGACAATTTTGGTTTAGCACAATAGGATTAGCTACTGGATCACATAGATCTTTTCGCGTCACTGTGTAGTTGTACGAGGAGGGACACTCCAGTTGCTCAAGTAGGTATGCTGAAGTGGAATTGAAGCGAGTAGTTTGTTTCATTTTATATTACACGGTGCTTCCGATTATAACCTAATTCGGTTGTCATGGAGCGATTGAAAGATGAACTTTTTGAAATGAAATGTTGCAGAGTGGTCTTCCAAGAGATGGAATCTGGTGATGGAATTGAACTGGAGCCCGAAAACGGAACTCTTGAGACAGATCCAAAGGCCAATGGATTTATGTCGAATATCAACAAGGATGATGAAGTTAGCTACAGCGGTGATGCTGTACAAGCCGACGGTGACAGCTCTGTAGATGAACCTAAAGTTACAGAAGTTGATTATCCTGGAGAGGGTAATGAAGGATCTGAATCTGCTACAGCGATCAAAGATTTCAGTCTCTCGGAGGTATTCACTTTCATTTGTCCTTTTCAGCTTCTTACTCTGTAAAAGATAGTTAAGTGGATTATGATTTAAGGTGACACTTCTATGTCCAGAAATCAGGATCTGATAGAGGTGATCAATTAAAGAAAGCACAGAAGGAACAAGGTGGTCAGAATGGTCATTCAAAAGAATTCCAGAAGAAAAGACATGTTCTTTCACAGAGTCTTTCGTTTCCTTCGAAAGGTCATCTTGGCAGTAGTTTGAGGAAGGGCGCCACAGTTATGAGGCAGCCTAAAGATTCATCATCAATTACAAACGGTTTGCTTTCTTCTATTTCTATTTGGTTCTATGATATTCCAACCTCTCCTTGGTCAAATCCTGTGGTCTCAGTACAGGTGTTCTTCCTGCTAAGAAAACTTCCTCGGCTGCTGCACATGGCTCTCGGAGATCACTTGTGGGTCTTCTCTTTCTAATTAGCACCATAGACTGTTATATCTGTGGTGCATTAACTAATAATATGGTTATGTTTACTAAAACTTTCAACTACATTTTTGATACTAGCCCAAGAAGACTGGCTCGTTGGATGCAACTGTCAATGGTACCGAAACTGGAGAGTAAGTTTTGTGTATCAATAGTCAAAACATCTGTTTTTTATTCACATTCTTTTATTTCTATGATTTTTATGATTTTTTCATACTCCTTATAAGACACAGACAATGATGGTCATACCAAGGTTTTGAATACTGGTGCGATACAAGTCTCATTAACATTTTTAGATGGGTACCATATGATATCCAATACATCAGATGGTACACTGACCTATCTTGTCTGGTATCAGTAATTGAACATAAAAATAAAAATGAACAATATATGCCTTGGTATGAGCCATATGTTTTTATACAAATACTTTTCAATACTCAATTACAAGTAAAAATAAAAATGAACAATATATGCCCCGGTATGAGCCATAATTTTAATGTAATTACTTTTCAATAATAAATTACAAGACTGCAATAGAACGTATTATTATGAAGTATTAACAAATGCAATGGCTCTCCTCATCCAAACCATGGTACTCAGGCCGATACAAAAAGAATAAAGATGTGATATTTTCATTATTTGTGTATCCTCTACCACTTTGGCATCCTACTGCTTGATTATTTATCACATAATTAAACTGGTTTCCTTTAGATCATTTTTGTTTGAGCTGCAAGGATTAACATGTCATTACAGGTCAATTGATGAGTACACAAAGCCCTTTAGGCACTTGTTTTCAGTGAAAAATAATGATGATGTTCACTCCACTACCTTCTATCTTTTTATGCTTGTTTATTAAATATGGCATGATTGTGAAAGTGTTACTTGTTCTCTATTTTCTAAATATTTGGGTTGATGTTTGTCTTTTCTAGTGGTTCCACTCCTTGTGGAAGAAAGGGTGCTATTTCTTGTTTCAGTTTCAGGTTGGATGAGCGTGCTGAGAAACGAAAGGAGGTCAGTCAGTGGATTGACTTTTCATCTTTTAATAAATTTTTCATCAGTAATTATTCTATTTCATTTTTTTCTCAGTTTTTCACGAAACTTGAAGAGAAAAATCATGCAAAGGAAATGGAAAAGACTAACCTGCAGGCAAGATCAAAGGTAACATCTTCTAGGGAATTTAAGATGATCTTTTTCTTTCTTTAGTCAATATCTCTGGGAAGCTTTCTCAGTTGAGCCAAGTTATCTACTAAGTTGTATAATATAGGAGAATCAAGAGGCTGAGATCAGACGGCTAAGGAAGAGCTTGACATTTAAGGCAACACCAATGCCAAATTTTTATCAGGAACCTGGTCCTCCGAAAGTTGAACT